AAAAAAAAAAAAAAAAAGGAACATTAACATTTGCACAATCAGTTTTGTATCGCACATTTTCACGACACGTCACATTAATGATATCAAGTCATCGTGTCAGGTAACCTTGTCAGAATGGACATCCTGTTTCCAGTGTGTGAGCATCGAGCAGAGAGGCTGAGGTCTCACACTCGCTAATGGAATAGTGAAACCAGTTACACTCTGAAATAAACCACACTGCATCAATAATACTATGAATATATAGTTTCACAGACATATCAAACACGTTTCCTTGAATTGTTATAATAGAATAATATGAACCAGTAGCTGAAGCAGGGAGGAGCTTCTCCAAGCTGAAGCTTGTGAAGGCCTCCCTGCAGTCCACCATGTCACAGCCATTCTGTGATTTAGTATTAACCATACAACTGCTGGGTACAATCATGTGATTGATGACTTTGCATCAAGCAAGGTCAGGATTTAGCATCCATGCAATTTAGTTGAATATAAGTGTGTCATGGTGTATTATTTTATTTGTGTGATACACAAGGAGGATTTGTGAAATTTTCTTTAATTTGTGTGTTCCTTGCAATCAGTATGTTGTGATGTATAGGTAATAATTTGATTCTCAATTTTATTTGTATCTGCATCTGAAATTTATGATTCTTATTACTGTACATAGTTTTGGTTGTAAGTAATTGTATATTTCTGTACTTGTATGGACATTGTTCCAAACTTAATGGAAATGACAGTTTGTTCACAAAGGTATAGTTCACCCAAAAAAGAGAATTAAAAAAGAGAATTAAGTCATTGTCTACTCACCACTATGCCAGTGGAGGGGTGGGTGAAGTGTTTGAGTCCACTAAACTCTTTTGGAGTTTCAGGAGTAAACAGCATTGCAGCCAAATCCAATACAACCGCAGTAACTGGGGATTTCTTCTTTAAATGTTAAAAAACTGAAAATATCTTCATACTGCTCCAGGGTTTCAGCAGCAGGTGGACCCAAAAATGTAGTGAGTTAACATAAAGTGTCCTTTAATCAGAGGCAGGGTTCAACATCCGAAAAATCCACGAACAGAAAAAATACAGATCAAAAACAAAACACTAGCAACAAGACAAATGCACAAGCGAGGGATAAAGATGAAGGAATGAGGACAGGGTGGTGAGGCGATGTGGACGGCGACCATGAAGACAACAAACTGACAAAGACAAAAGGAAGCACAGAGACTTATACACAGGGGAGGCAGGGGGAATTGGACACAGGTGAAACACATGAGGAACTGGTGCAGACAATCACCGGGGCAGGAAATAGGACAGGAAGTCAAGGCAGAGACACAGGAGGAGCAAAGACTTCAAAATAAAACAGGAAACACAGAATGAATGAATGAAACAACTGAACTCAAACTCAAACAGACTAAATCCCACCAGACTGAAGATATTAGTGGATTTGTTGTTACATTTGGAAATTTAAAACAGTCAGAATAATTTGACAAATCTCTTTGAATGCATTTCCATCCTCACAACTCCTCAGCAAGGGAGATATGTAAGTGGTTCGAATCCTGCATACTTCAGTTAAATGTTTAGGCTACTTACCAGCAGTCGTCTTCTTCTTTGCTATCACTGGTGCATGACTGTGTTTCTCTGTGCTCCAACACCACCTGCGGATCAGTGGAATAGCAAAAGGTAAAGCTATTTCCCTTTATACACAATACAGAGCTGTTGTTGACAAAAAGAAGATAATCAAATCATTTCTGTGATACAGTTGTCTAAAGACAGAAGCCTAGATGTGTTGTGCACAAATAAGATTATAAAAATCACAGCAATACTACAGAATTGTGATTAGTGACAATGGTCTACATAAAACATTTTATGAACATTGTTTTATTGAAGGATGGGGTTTAGGTCAGGGAAGAACCCATTACATCTTGGTGCAGATCTTGATCAGGGGACATTGTGAGGTCGGAGTTTTTCAACATTTTCATTGATTTCTCAGAGAACAATTCTAAATCTTGATGAAAATGATGCATGTTATGAAGCTGATATTTATGAGTGTGTCAAATTTGGTTCGGATTCAAATATAAAATCTGGATCTAGTGACTTTAATTGTGCTTTCAGAAGGGGACTGTTGGACTTTGGTGATGACATTGTTCCAATATGAAAGTTAGCTTTATCTGAGTGGGTATATACAGCACGCAGAGGGTAGGTATCACCTCTGATACGTTTCATTATGTACATTGTTTTTTAATCCTTTGTTTTTGAATTGAAAAAATATTATAAATGTGACACTTCATGATAGAAATACCTAAACAAATATGAAAATAATGTTCAATGATCATATGGGCACTTGATTTGAGGCAGATTTTAAAATTCGTGACACTATACAGTTTGGGAAGGGCAAGTTAAAATGAGCATCGGTGCGCACTTGCTTTTGTTTCTTTATGCAAAGCTTTCCAAGCACATGCAACTGCAGGCGATTAGACAGAACATCTGTTCCCTTGCATCTATGAATCCTAACATCTGGGTTCATGTTCTGTAGGTGATTCACATCATGTCATTCCGAATAACCGATACCACAGTGCACTCGGAAGAGGGCTGACACCTGCACTGTCAGGCCTCTCTGTGCTCTCATGCCATGCATGGCCAAACAGATGTACGGAGTCCTGGTATTCTCAGACTTTACTAAGATAATGTCTAATCAGCCAAAAGATGAGAAGACACATGTTGATGTATAATGGGTGCAGAGCTGGGTGAGGCAACAGGTTGTCTTGGTCACATGCAGCCCTGATACCATCTGCTCTTTGAGTTCTCTGTAGTTATTTCCTGAGGTTTTCTCTACAAATTGTGTTTACTTTGCATCACAGCTAACGATTTTCTACACCACAATGCTGTACTGTTGGTGTGTTTTTGCACCTCTCAGGCAGCCATTAGTTTCCATTCATTTCTGTAAAATATGTGGGTCAATTCGCAAACTCTTGAAACTTCCCGGGGTTGTGTAATCCATCACAATGAGGTAATGAAATATGAAAATCAATGGAGAAATCAATGAGCAAACTCTTGAAACTTGGCTTACACAACTCAAGTAAGTGTTATTAGTTTGGCAATTGATTTTTTTCAGTAGACAGGAAAAGGAGCAGTAGCACAAATACATTCAGTGCTCAAAAACGGTATAGCCGGCATAATGCAGGCTGCATTCAAGGATGGTTGTAAAGGGACAACACATGAGTATAGTCTTTTAAAAAAGTGAAATATATACTTTTAAGAGTAAAGTACACGTCTACTCCTAACATATACTGACAGGCTGCTAGTGAGCTGAACATTGTGGTTAGATTTTCTCACCGCCTGGTAAAAAGGAGCTGCAGTTATCTCAGCTACTTGTAATAAAAGCATGTGTCCGCATCCCAGCGTTGTTTTACAGCCAAAGTTTCTCAGATGAGTAATGATGAATAATATTTTCCTGACCTTTAAAATGGCAACTATAAGTCAGAGAATAAAACCAGTCCTCGATCTATAACTTGCCTCCTTATGTATTGGAGAGATCACAATGTCTTTCCCTTTTTGATCGCACTAGTATAATATTTGCTTTCTGCTAATTCAATTAACACAATACCCAATACATTTTGTGAGTATATATATATATTTTTTAACCCATATTTTATCAGTGAGACACATAGAGGATTCACAGAGCTGGGCTCAGTTGGTGTTTATCAGCTGTGTAAATGGCTATTTGATACCTGCTGACTAAAATGCTGCCCATATCAGTGAAGTATCTAGAAAACAAAGCAAGGCCCAGAATACTTAATTTTCCCAATTTAGCTCCTGGGAGGTGTTAAGTAACTGACAAGAGACCTGAGCTCCCCCCGAGGCAACCAAATCCAGTTGAAGGGGGATCATTAACATTTCTATTGCAAACAATCAAAATTGAAATTCATAAAGTCTAATTAAATTCTAATGCATTGCCCTTTTGAATGAATAGGTGCATCTCTGCCGTGGTCATTGCGCTCGACTTAATCTGCTGTCAGTGTTGCTCGATTCACCAGGATGTGGTGCAGGTGTGCTGCTTTCATGTGCTGTTTTGTGCACTTATGCATAATTACTGTGTTTGGATCCAGTGTCAGATCAGCGATTTTTCAAGGAGCAGCTGCTGTTCACCGCTCCGCCAGTGTGTTCCATTCAGCAGCCTCTCTCAAATTAAATCTGAAACAAATAACTTGTGAAACAATAAAAAGTCTTTCACTTAGTAATCAGATTGTTATGATAATATCTGATACAAGGGTTGGGTACCAAAATCCTACACGGCCAGTATCTACTAGACTGAATCACAATGCATATTTTGGTGCCTCCTTTTTTGTGCCTGAGCTACTTATGTACTGAAATAGTGAGTACAGGAAACAAACAAAAAGTTTTATGTCACCTGTTTTGCTTCTTGTGGTTTTTTTGTGACACCGCCCACAATTTACAACAGTGTGAACTGCTCATTAATATAAATCACTGTATTTCACATAATTAAGCCTGTTGTTGATAAGCAGTCACGTACACAGTTTTAGTTTTGTACAGTACAGCCATATACACTGTGGGGACATCATGTCTTCTTGCATGTATTTGTAGAATACTTCTGTGTACTCAATCCCTTGTAGTATCTATTCAGGCACATGTGAGTGTAAACCACCAGCTAAAGTGTTAAAAAATACTGCTTTGCCAAAGCTTCATATTTAAATACACAAGCAGTCAGATTGAGGTTTGACCAAGCAATGATCACACAGGTGGCTGAAACCATAGTCTGAACACCAAGGTAGATGACATGACAGCTCCCCAAAAGTGATGCCAAATCATCTGGCTTGCCCCCTGGTGGATGGCTGCAGCATAGGTTATACCCCCTCTGTGTTAGTGGATGGGAGATGGACATAACCAAAAAGTCAAACTACATGTCAAACAAATTTTTCCACTGATGTTTTCTGTCATTTCAGCACAATTATGTGTGTCTCAGTGTTACAATAAGTAATGTTTAACACATTTCCTCGCAGTGGAACCGATAAAGGATTTCCTTATCTCTTGATCATTTTGGTTTAAATTAACCATCTAATGCTAAATTTATGAGTCGCCATGTTTGAAGGCTGAAACTGACTAAGGTTTGGTGAAGCTGCGACACCTTAATAATGTGGCTCCGCTCCACTATCACTCTGACTGGAAGTGGCCAAGTTGACCATCTTTATACACAGTTTATGGCTGAAAAAACAAAATATGAAGCTATATCTGAAGTTTCTCTGAAAATATTGCTCATATGGCTTAGATGTCTGTTTAAAAATGATCCTGTAGCAAAACTTGAGGTGGGGTTTGGAGAAACCATTCATGTAGAACACATGAGTTTAGTATGTTCAGTTGTGAGGGATTGCACTCACATTTTGTCACAGAGCCAAGATTTGTTGACTGTGGCCCTAACTCATCTTGCACTCTCACCATGGAGACTGGAATGACAGAGACCACCTCGCCACAAGCTTTTAGAAGATTGAGATGGTAAATCTACCCTGCATCACACAATCAGATACATGATAAGTGACCAGGTGCCGCCTGTGTCACTTGGCCTGTTATATACAGCTGAAAGCAGGAAGCAATAAAAGCACTTCACCTACCAGTAAAAAATGGTCTCAGCAGAGGGGCTTCTCCTGCAGGTGCTATGGATATTTGCAGCACTTTGGACCTTTTTTTTTAACAGGACTCTCTGTGAATGATTTTCCTTGCAGGTCCAGATTTCCATTCTCATGGTCACTTTCAGTCATTATACCTATATATACCACACAAAGTGTTCACATGCTAGAATCCAGGCATTAAACCTATTTAATACTAGATTATTCTCTTGTAGATACTTAAGAGATCACTGGTGTAATGGTTGCATTTAGGCATCATCAATCAGTTAATGTGGGGTGTTACAGAAGTCCAAGCAGAGCTGATACATAAGTGGAACCTTTTTTTCCTGCTTTTTTTTTTTTTTTGAAGTGTCAGCTGTATAAATGATTCAGTCAGTATCTGATGCAAACTTTGAGTAATAATTTCACTGCAGTATTACAGCCTGTAGTCCACAGTGATGTCAGGTTCACTCAAGTTCATGCCAGCTTTATTCCGTACAGGGGGACTGGAAAGGAACGGGGATGTTTACATGGATTGGGGTTTGATGGACAGATCCTTGTGGGCTACTGCCTCGGCTCATTTTGCCCCAGATGACCTGCAGTACCACTGAAACTGTGAGGCCAATACTAAATCAGTCATGTATGTCCTTTATGGACACGGTTGAGATTATAGTTGCTGTGTTGTGATAGCTGAGGCTCAGCAGTCCTGTAAACTTGACACTATAACCCTCCTCAAGGACCTAACCATGACTTAGATTGACATTATTGAAGTGATTTACTTAGCATCATTTATTTAGTATTGTTGTAGTTTTTTTGAGGGTTGGAGTGGGTCAAGCTCTTAAGTGCATTAATACAATTATACCACCAATACAAGGTCCACCCAGTGTTACAATAAGCGGCCACATGTGCATATATCTATTGTTTGTACTGCTTAGGGACGCCATGGTGAGGACAATTCTCCACCAGGTAATAAACTTGTGACAAGTGGTGTAACTGATTACGGCGGACATTTTACAAGACAAGATGTGTCAGTGCCAGAGTAGA